TATATAATATATATATATTATTATTTGTTGTGTATATATATATATATATATACTATATATATATATATATATATATATATTATTAATTTTTACCTATATATTTATATACATGTATATTTTTCGTATATATACGTATATGATAGGACTGTTGTAGGGAGGTGCACATGGTCTGTCCCTAGAGATATGTACTTGAATATGAATGGGTGCAAACACTGAAGTATATCTAAACTTGACTAGATACAAATTTATACATATAGATATGGAATATATCCAGTTTAATATATTTGCATATATCATGCATAGATACACACGCACGTGACTAATTTATACATAACCTATAACTATAATACGAGCAAGTTGTCTTCTACTCGGCAATAGTCGGGTGCTTGAAACCTAATGGTCGCTTTTTTCCATTCGATTTCAGAGCTGTTCCTTCAGAGCTGTCCGTGTGCGGGATAGTGCCATGAGATCGACACGCCCTCATGCCAAGGGCACATGCACGCATACGTTACTTATCTGTAGTTCAGCCCTATCTACCGGATTGGTATGGGTTGGTTCAGGAGACATGTCGGTATGTGGGGTCGCGCGTTTGGGGCATAGGAGTGGAGTGCCGGGTGGTGGTGCAATTCCCAACAATTAAATAAACAGGAAGCTAGTACGCTACGCGCAGGCTTTCGTATGTCCCTATGTGCTGCCTCTACTGCAATACGGCCGAGGCTTAACTAGCCTGCTCTGGCCAGATGTCCCATACTTTGGGAGATGTCATTCGAGAGAGGAGTTTGGAGGTACATGTATTCACAAACATTCAATGGACACACAGTCATTAAATATGCTACCAGTAGATTGCGTATAACTGTAAATGTCCGTGCAAACCGATTAAGCAATGTCACTCCTAGTGAATTGACCGTTGAATATAGCCCAATGCTCGGCTCATAGTACCGAACTATTGTGGCTATAAAGTTGAAAGCCAGCCCCATCAGATCTCCCGTATGACCAGAGAAAACTGGGGACAGGAATGGATATTTACGAAAATAAATGGACAAAGCCAATAATCCGCAATATACTCACTCGTAAACCAAAATACGGACAACGAAGAGTTCTTACGCTACATGATAATAATAATGTGTTCATATACTGTATTTTAATAATTATAAATGTTTATTTACATACTATGTTGATGATAATAATAAGTGTTCATATACTGCATGTTAATAATTTAATGTTTATATACATACTATGTTAATAGTTCGAGGTGTTTGTATACTAAATTGTTATAATTATAAATGTCCATATACTAATTTATGTTAATGTTTATATACTACATGTTAACAAATAAAAATGTGCATATACTTTTATGTTGATAAAAATCGATGTTCATATACTATATGTCAATAATTATGAAAATTCATATAATATAAGCTGATCAGTATTAGTGTTGATATACAGTATGTTAACTATTATATATGTTCATTTGATAATTATAAGTGTTCATATACAAAATGTAAATTATTATAAATGTTCATATACTATATGTCAATAATTATGAAAATTCATATACTATATGTTGATAAAAATATATGTTCATATACGATATGTTTGTAATTACAAATAGTCTTATACTGTATGTTATTATATATACATATACATATATATATAGTTGCTTCTCTACGCTTAAGTAGTGCTAGATATCAGGATGTGCCGCGATTCAAAACGGTCTAATCTTGTGATCCACCTTCAAGCGCAGCTCAACGACTAATATATCTTCCTTGACAGTACATCGAACTACTGCTACATTCAGCAGGCCGAACGATTCCTCAATCTTACAGCGTATCCATTGGCAGTGGTAGAACACTGCTTGGCGACCAATCTGAGAGTCGCACTCCTACTCGACACGGGCGTGACCTCAGTGTAGGCGGTAACTATCCTACTCATATGCATTTACTATATTGAGACCGAGATTGGAGAACAAAATAACATATATATATATATATATATATATATA